ATACGTGGAAATGTTGCAGTCATTATTTCTTTGGATGTAGAGTATTTTAAAGCCATAAAATATTCACCTCGTAACTTCTCCAAATATCAGAATGATGTATACAATAAATGGTATAAAGTTTCAGAATGAAGATCCAAACCATAAAATTCATCCCATCAACTGTACAGTATCATAAGAACACGTGTAGAAGTACATTTTGTAATAGTGTAATCCACACACAAAGGCAGAAGTTTATAAAGGGAGAACACGATGTTGTAATAAACCCTTTTGAACATCTTTAAAACGTCTAATTTCTGAATTGCTTAGTTACTGAAGAGGCAGTTGTCTCATTGTTCTAGCTCATGCAACAAATCTGATGAAAGGTTAAGTGCAATCATTTAGAAAATCCCAAGTGGTATCAGATTAGAAAACAGAATGTCAATTCTAACAACTGGCATCCACATATGCACATATTAACCATGCATTCAGCAATGAAGTTCTCATATTCTCCAGTTTTGTTACAGTGAAGCAATTTTTTGAGTTCCAAAGTGATTAGTATGATTGCTACCTTTCAATCCACTAATACTACAGCGCATAGCTCAAAACATGTAGAAGGTATTGAACTGCATGAGAAAAGAGGAGTTGTTCCTTTCCACAGCAAAACTAAAATGAGCCTGCATTATTACAGCTATTTTATTTTTTGTATTAGTCTGATTTTTCCAGGGTTCTCTATGTTAGCATTGTGAACATAAAAATAAACAAAACAATTTATTTTATTCAGACAGCAATTTGCCAAGCATTTCATTCAAAGGCTATATTATTACAACAGCAGACGACATTTGGCATAATATACAAATAAGCCGAATTCTATAGACTTCTGCACCAATGTTTTCAGCTTCATTCAGAACCAACTGTATCTGGCTGAACATTATAAACAGAGGTCTGCAGAAATTTTAGCATTTATACTTAAAAGCTTTATATAGTTCAATCCTTCTTGCTTTTTTACTCCTCTAAGCATACTGTGCATTTGTATTGTTGTTGTTTTTAGTCCTTAAACTTGTATTTAAAACTTCTTTACTAAGGATTGAAGGAAACTCACCTGTTGCTGTCAAACTTGCTGATCCAATAGCTCTTCCTAATAGCTAAAAAGCACTTGACATTTATTAGTCTATTATTAATCTATTGTGGGACCCCAGAAAAAAGACCTTCCTGTTGGTAGCTTCTTCTCTATGGTGAATATCATTTCACCAAAAGTATAACTGGCCACTACCTTGTTGCTTTTCTAAAAGATGTAATTTTGTCAGCGGACCCCGGGGACCTCAAATGGGAATAGAGCTGATCAAGTGGGTTGGTTTAATTGTGTTGCTGCTACCATGGAGGGAGGGGAGAGATGGCGTGGATTTTTAATGCTGTAAACCAGCTGGAGTAACTTGTATATAAGTTGGGTGGCCATATACATTTTTAATAAATACATAAATAATACACAAGCAGTTTCCTAAAGTGATCAGAAAAGGAAATGTGCAAAGTTAGTGTCTTTTCAAAGGTGCAACTGCAGGTTGAGCGAGATGGCTATTCTTTCATCTCTGAGAGCTCTCAACCCACAAGAGACCATTGTCTTGCCGTCTCCTCACAAGGAACAACTGTCTGGAGCACTTGTGGACAATCTCAAGTCCTCTCTTTGTCCAGGAAGGAATTATTAAGGAGCAGGTCTATTAACCACCTCTTTATTCTGCTGCGTTCAACGGCTCCACTTTGCATGGAGCCATCATCCATCTGCCATTTCTTCCCTGGAAGTCAGCATACCATGTATTTGTGTCACGTGAATCTTCCATTATGAACCCAATTTTATCAAGTAGCCTATTCAAATTATTTTTAAAAAAATATTTTTAAAAATGTATATTTGTAAAAAACTTGTCTTTGCATTTAAGATTGAACGTGTACAGTTAAGTTTTGGTTCACTCTGAACTATTTTTACAATTTACAACTCTGACTATAAAAGCACTCTTAGGAGGATCTATTTAGATATCTCTTGAAAATCAGCATCTGTTTCTCATCAAACACAGAAAATTAACAAATTGAAACTCTTAATGAGCATGGTGTTTTTTCACCCTAAGTTGCTTCCATTATGTTTATGGAAGTAAGAGGAGGCAGCTGTCCAGTTAGGCTTCAAACACATTTTGCTTTTACCAAAACTGTTGAAACTATACCATATGCTCATAACAAGCCCAGCCAAAGACAATATTCTCAGAGCCCACTTCATTAAACTTCTCCATTGTCAACACAGATATCTCTGAACATTACAGAACTAAGATAATAAAAAGCCTAGGCATGAGGATTACATGCAAAATGTGTAGAGAAGACCTACCGCTACATGTTGGAATAGCAGATACATAGAATTAGGAAGAAAGCAACTTTGCTGGCACTATGCTTTGAGAGGTGGAAAAGGGGATGGTATTCTTTTCAGTGTTTTTTCTTTCTTCTCCAGCTTTTCTATGCATTTTTTCCCTTTCCCTTCCACCTAACCAAGGCAACTCGCAATTTTCATCAGCCACAAGGAAACCCTGGCCTGCCACTGTGTCTGGTTTTCCCAACCATGGTTCCCTCTTTCCTGCCATACTATCCATTCCTCTTTCCTATTTTTTGTCAACTGCAATTTCTCAAACTTAGTGCACCTATGCCACCACACCTCCCACTGATGTTTCTTACCCAACTTTGCTTTGATTAATCAAAGTCTCCCATACTGACTTTTCTAGCACCTGCCTGGTCTTCCATGACATTGCCAACAATTTGCTTGCTTTCAGATGCTATATATAGCTGCAATTAGCAATTCCCAGCTGTTTCTCCCTACTCCACCTTTCCTGGGTTGCAGGACACACTTCACATTAAAGGCCTGCCTTGTAGAAACCTACCAGTTTCCCTCATTAATGCATCTCTGGGGCACAGCATGCAAATTTAAGTGTGAAAAGCTAAACAAAGGCCAAGACCTTGGCTTCAAGCATTTGAGGTTACTGCCAAGGTAACTGCTTCTTCTATCTTTTTCCTTTTTGTAGAAATGAGAAAGAAATCTAGGGACAAGCTGACAGCATGGTGGTATAGGTGCCAAAAGTTGGAACAGAAGATATGCTTGAAAAATAACATCTAACAGAAAGACAAGAACTGTGTTTTAATAAAAGCAAGCCAGCCAGTGACACATTCCCTGGAAGTAATAGATATTCTACCTAAACCGTTTGGTTATTAAACAAGATTTATATAGAAAATAAAGCCACGTGCCTTCTGCTTTCTGTCTTCCTACATCTGGCCTTTCCAACACTATGATTCTGTAACTGGGTAAATTTTAGTGTATTTCTAAAATTTATATCGTGTCGCAATGCAAAGATTATAGGCAATGTACCAAAAATGCTCCACAATATAATAACAACAATAACAAAATGGAAAAGAATTCAGAATAAAACCATAACACAAAACCAAGATCACATCTCACAACAATATCAAGCAACATCTTCACATTTGGCATGGATTTTATTTCAGTCTCTTTAACCTCCAGGTCTAGAACAATTTAGGTTGTTCTAAAAGAGGAGAACTAACACTCAGAATGCCTACCTCTGTGCACCCTTTGTTGGACCTCCTGAAAGGAAGGGACTTTCAGGAGGCAATCTTTATTTTTATCCAAGTTACACAGGCAGAATTTGCAATTGTCTCCATGATACATAAACCCCAAGCAATACAGAGCTTTGTAAGCAATAACCAGCCACTTCAATTGCATTCAGAAATAAAATGACTAACCCATATATTCCAATAACAATGTTTCTATATGATGATATTGTGATTAGCCAGTCAGCGAAAGTTTCTGGGTGGTCTTCAAAGCAGTCCCACATAGCAAATAGCAGTAAAAGGTACAGTAGAACCGACAGAAAAGAACGCCAACTAATAGTCAGAAGTCACGGTCAATACAGGTAGTCCTTAGGTTACGACACAATTGAGCGCAAAAATTTTCACTGCTAAATGAGACAGTTAAGTGAGCTTTGCCCCATTTTATGGCCTTTCTTGCTACAGTTGTTAAATGAATCATGGCAATTGTTAATAACACAGCTATTATGTGAATCTGGCTTCCCCACTGACTTTGCTTGTCAGAAGGTTGCAAGAGGTGATCACATGATCCTGAGACACTGCAACACTCACAAATACTGGTCAGCGGCCAAGTGGCCAAGTTTTGATCACATGACCATTGGGATGCTGCAACAATTGTAGAAGTGTGAAAAACAGTCATAAGTCATTTTTATGCAGTGCTGTTGTAACTTCAAATGGTCACTAACTGAATGGTTGTTAAATCGAAGATTACCTGTAATTCAAACACCAGGTGATAGTTTGAACATCTTCAGTGTGTCCCATTCAAGAAAAGACCAAAACTGGCACACAGGGAGAACTGAGCAATCTCTCTTGACCATTATGTGAGTCCAGAAGGACTCCCAGACTGAGAACTGATATAAAAGCTTGGTGTAAATCATAGTTGGCACCGTGGATTTTGCAAAGTCATCTGGGATTCAATCAAGCTTGTGAACCTCTTTAAATATGATGGTGCCAGCTGCAGGGTAAGTTGATTATTCCAGTTTATTTAATTTATGAAATTTATTAGCCACCCATCTTACCACAGGGTAACTCTGGGTGGCTTACAATAGTTGGTAGTGATGGGTGAGGAATGGTGATAAATAATTATGGAATGCTACAAGGCTTGGATGAGGTCCAGTAGCCCTATGTTATTTATTTTCTACAGTATATGAAACCATTGGAAGAAGTCATCCATCAGTTTGGGGTGATGGGGTCTATACATCTCCATTCCTGGCTGAACTGAAATCTTCATAACAATTTTTAGACTCTTTGGGATAATGGAATAAGACAAAAGACAAATCTAATACTGAATCTGATTGATGTGAAGGTATTGTTCATACTGAAATCATCTGGGTTTGAATACTGAAATCATCTGGGTTTGAATATTATATTATTCATTATTTCTGCTCTTCTAGGTAACTGCTCCTGCTTGATCAACATCTGGAATCATAACAGTCGTAGCCCTTTCTAGGAAAGGAGCACTTCAACAATGACACAACCAAATTGCAAGTACTGCATTGGTTGCTTATGTGTTTTTGGGTACAACTCAAAGTTCTAATGTTAACATACATGGCTTGCTCTTTCTCCCCCTTTTCCTGTTTTCTCAAAACAAAATAAACTTCTCCTCTGTTCAGTGTCAAAAGGGATGCCTTTGGTCCTTCCACCAGAAAATGAGCAGATGAAAGCCCAGAGTCAGGTGATTGTCTATCATCATGGAACAGCTTGTCTACATAGATCCAGATGGCTCCTTCAATTTTAGGAAGACAGGGAATATCGTCTTATTTCACAGTCTTAAATAACTGGACATAAACAATTGTTTATTGGGCTGCCTACTTTGGATCTTTAGACTAAGTCATCATTTCAGAAATATTTCTTTACCTGAACAGAGAAACCAAATGACCACTAGTAGGTTAAAAAAAAAGCATTGGGAAAGGAAGTAACGTCTGCTATCATCCCTACTGAATGTACTTGCGGGAAGTTGGCAGGAAGCATCAGAAACCTTCTTTCCCTCCTTCTTTTTTCATCACTCCCTCCTTTCTACCATTCCTTCCTCCCTTTTCCTCTCCTTCCTTCCATCCTTTTCCTCCCCCTTCCTTCCTACTTACCTTCCTACAAAACTCAGACTTAACCTATAAACATTTTATGGCATCTTGAAATGAAGCTCATAATTCACCACCTAACCCAATTTCAATTTCTGCAGGCCTGCAACTTTAAAGCAAAATCCTTTATAGATCTGCTCAAAAATGCTACCAAGTTCAAAGAGGCTATCTACCAGAAGAGTACGGCACATAGAATTACAGACAAAATCAACTGATTTACAGAAGCCACAAAAACATGAATGTAGTATTTTTTTTAAAAGCCTTCATCCCGCAGATCTGTTAGTTGGAGGTATTCAAAATCTAGAACTTCCAATATTGCTTAAACTACTCAGGATTAAGAGTATTTTTCTATTCTCTATTCACTGTGCCAGTTCTGGGACTTGATGTACAGTGATTACCCCTGATGAGCTTAGTTAATGGACAGCTGATACCATTATTTTTCAGTACTGCTCTTGCTTTTAATTGGCATCTGTCTTCCCCTCATCCAAAATCGACAGCAGACTAAACAACATTCATGGAGGAAATATTCCAAAAGGACAGGAGATGGGCAGTGATTACATTTGGTAAGTTTCATTAAATGGAAGACTGCCAAAAAAAACTAGGCACCAAATTGCCTATGTAGGATTGTAGCAGATTAGAGTGCTATAGAGACAACATAAGCAGAATTCAAGTCCTTACTTATAGATATAATTGTTGAGAAGCTTGCCTGAAATGAGATGCATTCATAACGGTGAGGGCCTCAGGCAACTACACGTCCCTGATGAGAAATAAAAAATACAATGATCTATAATTAATCTAATAGCCCTTACTTAGAATCACATTAGACCCAGGGATAATAGTGTTTAACAAGATTCAGAAGTTAATTTCTGAAATACAACACTCTATTTATTTAGCCATTCATCTCACACATACGTGATCTGGGCAGCACACATCCTTAAAAACCGTACATAATAAATAGTCCCAAATTAACAACTAAAATTAAAACCATTAAAAACCAATGAAAATAGTTTAAAAAATTTGTTTGCAGGGAAGTATCATCCATACAATAACTAACAATATAACCCAGCTAACAGCTCCAAACCACCCCCGGATCACCAGGCCCGATGACAAAACCATGTCTTAAGAGCCTTCCAAAGCGCCAGTAAATCAAGGTCAGTTTAATCTCAGGGTGGTTGCTGGTGCAGAAAATGGGCGTTGGTCTTACCTGATACGCCCCTTCTCGAGCAGGCGCCCACGGCAGTCAGACTGGGTGTCGACATGTCAGCTATCCTATAGGACCGAGTCTACTGGAACTTTAAGCCCGCCTCTTCCTGCTTCCTTCCAGTTTGGAGGCGAGGTCGACCAGCAGACTGTGGTGTCTGTAGCAAAAACAAACAGAGAAGTGAGAAAGAACCCCACCCCTCCCAACCTTGAACCAGGTACGGCCCGAATGGGTGGGGCTGACTGCCGTGGGCGCCTGCTCGAGAAGGGGCGTATCAGGTAAGACCAACGCCCATTCTCCGAAGATGGCGCCCACGGCAGTCAGACTGGGACATACCAAAGCCTGGTGTCTCCTAGGGAGGGAGAGGCCGGACCTGTTGCAGAACCCGTCTGCCGAAGGCCGCGTCCGCCGAAGCGTATGTATCCAAGCGATAATGCCGGATGAAAGGGGTCACCGATGACCATGTTGCGGCGCGACAGACTTCCTCCGGAGGAGCTTGGGTGGCCCAGGCCGCGGAGGTGGAAGCGCTCCTTGTAGAATGCGCAGTAATGTTGCGAGGAGGCGGAAGGGAATGCGCCTCATAGGCCGAAGCTATCGTGGCCCTGAGCCACCTGCCTATAGTTACAGATGAGGCTCGGGATCCCATAGACGAAGGCTGAAATGATAGGAACAGTGCTTCAGTTCTTCGGAAAGGAGCCGTCCTGGTCACGTAAATCTTAAGAGCTCTGCGCACGTCTAGTTTATGCCAGACTCGCTCTTGTCCGCACCGAGGTGAAGGACAAAAATTTGGTAGCGAAAGTTCCTGAGCCCTGTGGAAGATGGAATTAATTTTTGGGACGAATGCGGGGTCCAGTCGGAGCACCACCCTGTCCGTATGAAAGATGCAGAGGTCCGACCGTACCGACAGGGCTGCGAGCTCAGAAATCCGCCGAGCGGAGGTGATAGCAACCAAAAACGAGACCTTGAAAGACAGGTATTTCAGGCTGACCTCTCGTAGCGGTTCGAACGGCGGACCCGTGAGAGCCGTCAAGACCTTATTCAAATCCCAGGTCGGGAACCGATGGACCGTGGGAGGTCGAAGGTTGGTGGCGCCTCTCAAGAATGACTTGATGAGTGGATCCTTAGCTAGGGAGCTATTGGCTCCACACGACAGAATGGATGACAGAGCTGCCACCTGACGTCGGAGTGTATTGGGTGCGAGGCCAGCCACGAAACCATCATGCAGGAAGTCCAAAAGATGGGTAACGGAGACCTCTGTTGGAAGTAAGGACCGTCTAAGACACCAGTCAGAGAAAACTCTCCAAGTAGAATCGTAGATACGGCGCGTAGAAGGTCTCCGAGCCGCCTGTATGATGTCGATGGCCCCTGGAGAGACGGAGGCCCCTGTCAGGAGGATCCGCTCAGCCGCCAGACGGTCAGTTGGTAAGACCGAGGGTCCGGATGGCGGATTGGGCCTTGTAGGAGGGATATCCGATCGTCCGGGATCCGCCATGGGGGAGCGACTGACAGGGACCTCAGGTCGGAGAACCATGGGCGGCGAGGCCAGTGAGGAGCCAGCAAGATGACCTCCGCTTTTTCCGACAAAATTTTCCGCACGACCCTGGGGATGAGGGGCAGGGGGGGAAAGGCATAGAGCAGCTGTCCGGAGGGCCAGGGGCTGCGTAGAGCGTCCACCGCCTCCGCTCCCGGAGCGGGGTAGCGAGAGAAGAAGCGGGGGAGCTGATGGTTGCTGGCTGAGGCAAAGAGGTCTACCGAGGGAGTGCCAAAGCGGGAGGAGAGGTCTTTGAATATCTCGGGATGAAGACTCCACTCGGCTGGGTCGATGATGTGTCGGCTGAGAGAATCTGCACAGATGTTCGCCGTCCCTGAAATGTGTTCCGCTTGAAGTGACGCCAGGTGAAGTTCCGCCCAGAGGCCCAGACGGAGGGATTCCTTCATCAAGGAACGAGACCGGGTTCCGCCTTGTTTGTTCACATGAGCCTTGGCCGAGACGTTGTCCGTCAGGATGAGGACATCCCGGCCAAGGACATGAGGTTCGAAACTCAGGAGGGCCAGATAGATGGCTCGCAACTCCAGAAGGTTGATGTTGAGGGCCCGCTCTGGAGGGGACCAAAGTCCCTGGGACAGAAGGCTCTCCAGATGGGCGCCCCAGCCCGACAGACTGGCATCTGTGGTGACGATGACTCTGGTGGCCTCCCCGAAGAAAGAGCCCCGGGATATGGCTGGCGACGTCCACCAACTGAGAGAGTCTATCACTGCTGGAGGGAGAACCACCCTGGAAGCCGACGTACTGCGGAACGTCCGTTGGTAAGGTAGCAAGAACCATTGGAGTTCCCGGCTGTGGAGGCGAGACCACGGCACAATGCCGTAAGAGGACACCATCTTACCTAGTAGGGTGGAGAGACCTAGAAGGGAGGCGGAGCCCCGCCTCCCGAAAGAGGACGCCATGTCTGAGAGACTAGATTGGCGGTCCTGAGACAAGGAGACCTGTAGATTGGTGGAATTGATAATAGCTCCTAGATGTTGAAGGCACATGGTAGGTGTCAAATGGCTTTTAGCCCAATTGACTGAAAAACCGTGCCGTTGCAGGAGAGACACAACCATGGAAATGTCCCGTTGCGCCTGCAACTGTGTCTGGGACAGGATGAGAATATCATCCAAATAAAAGAGCGCCCGTATGGGAATGGAAGAGACGTGGGCCATAAGGGCCGCCATAATCTTTGTGAACACCCTGGGGGCAGATGAGAGCCCGAAGGGAAGGGCAGCATACTGAAAATGTTGCCCGTTATAAGAAAAACGTAGAAATTTACGGTGGGAGGGAAGGATGGGGATGTGGAGGTAGGCCTCAGTTAAGTCTATGGAAGACATGAAGTCCCCCTGACGAATGCAGAGCAGGATGGTATGCAGCGACTGCATTTTAAACCGACGATAGACTATGTGTCGGTTGAGGGACTTTAAGTCTAGAATGGCCCTCCAACCCCCCGAGGCCTTGGGGACCAAAAACAATCGGGAATAAAAACCAAACCCCTTTTGAGAAACAGGGACAGGCTGAATGGCCTTAATAGTTAATAAATGATGGATGGCTTCCTCCACCCTAGCCCGTTTAACTGGGTCTAGGGAAACAGGACAACGAAGGTAGTGTCTCGGGGGAATGGACCGGAATTCGAGAGGGAGGCCAAACCTGATGGTGTCCTTTACCCAAGAGTCGGAAACCGACAAGTCCCATTGATCGGCGAAAAAGGATAGACGACCGCCGATCAGGGAATCAGTTACTGGATTAGCGGGACCGTCGGTAAGGGCGACCCCTCCCACCTCGAAATGGCCTCTTGAGGGGAA